GCAATTATTCTGGGTCATCTTCCCCTCAGACCCCCCCACCCTTGCCTTCCCCTGAGTCACCAGCCCCAGGAGTCTCTCCTCTCCCCACTGGTGGGATGGGCGGTGGGATGAAGCTGGGGGCTTTGGCCGGGGAGCAGGGCCAGGTGAGGATGGGTTTCCCCGACCTGGCCATCCTGCATCAGCTCCGGGGCTCCCCCATCTCCAGGAGCTGGAGGACCGCAGCTCAGAGCAGAATTGGGCCCCTAAGCCAGCAGAGGAGGGAGGGTTCCTGCCTCATCGAGGGAACAGCGTGGGCCACCAGAACAAGCCGGGTGGGAAGGGCGACAGAAGGAGATGCTGCAAAGAAATTTGTTCCCCTGGGATTACCAGGGCCAGCTAGCTTCGTAACTGTCTCCAGAGGCCACAGGCCTAACTGCAAGATTGATGGCACTGGGGGAAAAAAGATGAACCAGGGCAGAACTGGGGCATCACCAATCCAGTCATGGCAAACTGCTCCAAGCAGGGAGGAAAGGAGGAAAAGCCTCAGGTGGTTACAGAGAGGGTGAGAAAATACGGAGAAGTGGAAGGAAGGGGAGGGGTGGGAACTGAGCCACTAGCTCAGACTGGGGTGTGCACTGATCCATCCACAGAAAGTTTAAGTTTACATCTGCTCCAGTCAAGGCACAGAGCAGGCATACACCTCCCTGGAATATACTGCTTGGGCGTCCCCTATAGATGAAGACAGGAGAGGGCGTCTGAGCTGGTAGGACCAGGGGTCACTGGCAAAGGTGAGTAGTCTCAGGACTAGGTTAGCAGTCTCGTTCGCTGGGTTTGTAACCATGCGGTGTCTGGAGACCAGAGCTGCTCTAGCAGAAACGCGCTAGGTGGCCGAGGCATGTGGCCGAAAGACTTGTGCTTCAAGGATGGCAGGGTATTGCTGGAGTGGTGGCATGCACCCGTGGATGGGACGGGGTGGGAGCGGCAGGTTACAATCCGGAGCACTGGCAGAGAAAAGCTGAGGTCCAAAGACTGGCGGAGGTGTGGGAGCTGTACAGCAGGAGCGGGGCGTCGGAGTGGGTGCATGGAGCGGGCAGGACACGGATGGCAGGGGGCAATACGAATCAGGCTTTCTATTACAGAAATGGCATTAGTAATGCTAGTAATGATTTGGGTGGGGAGCCTCAGACTGGAAGGGCAGGGAGCACAGGGTATCTCAGCAGCACTGGAAGGAGTTGCTGGGGGCCAGAGTCCGGCCTGAGGTATGTAAGGACTGGTGCAAATCTGGCTCTTCTGTTCCCTGAAAGACACAGGGAGTGCTCTGCGCAGCCTAAATCATGACCGGGTGTTTGTGTGAGCAAGGAGAGAGAGATATCTGGGGAGATAGAATGATCTTAAATTACTTTTTCTCTTTTCTCTCTTCTACAGTGAACCTCGTGCCCTGAATCTCCAAGGGAACCTTTGAAAAGGATCTTCCCCTCTCTGCCATCTCCTTATTGTTTGCCAGCTCTGCCCTGCGCTGTGCAGGGAAGCTTGAAAGAGCAGGCTGAGCCCTGGAGGATAGCAAAAAGGACAATGTAGTGAGGGTGCTGTGAGGTCTTGGATAGGGAACCCTCTGCATCTTGTTCCTCACCCTTCACTCTCTGCTGATGGCTCTCTGACAGCCTTGGCAGGAACCTCTACCTGGCCACGAGTGTGGCATTTGGTGAGAGGGGGATTACACATGGTGTATGCGCCACCCGCACCATTTCTCTCCCGTCTTCTCTGAAACTCTTGGCTAGCTCCTCATTCACTAGGACACTGGGCAGCAGGCACCTGCTACTACCAAACTGTTTGGAGTCCCCAGCAGTCCCTGTTTGCGTGTGGCCTTCACCAGTCCCAGCAGAAGGTGGTCCCTGAGACAGAAGGTGCCTGGTGGGCACATGAAGTAAGGAGAGCTTTTTCTTTGGGGGAAGAGTGGAGGGGAATGAAATAGATGGGGAGGAAAAAAAAAAATGAGCCCAAGCAAGTGAGGGAAGAAGCACTGGCAAGCGTTCATGAGAAACAGAGAGAAAGAAGGTGGAAGAAAGAAAAAGAAAGAGAACAAGGGAAAAAACAGGTGAAAAAGTTAGAACAAGGGAAAGAAATATAAGCAAACAGAAGGGAAAGGGAGGACTGAAAGTGAGACAGAGTTGACGGCTGTTCTGCCTAGCATCTGGTGGCAATGCCTTGAGGAACCCCTCCAGCGTGTGTACACCTCGCATCGCAGCAGCAGCAGCAGATGAGGAGGGACGTGGCTCCCCCAGTGCGGAGTCCCACTCACCCTCTTACAAAATACCAGCAGCAGGGACAAGGTGCAGCCTAGCAGGGGTGGCAGCATGGGGGACTCTGAATCAGAGTCTACTTTGCACAACAACTCACTGTGGTGGCTGGCATGTGGGATGTTAGCCCTGTTGGCCAACTCCTGGATTATCCTCAGCATCACGGCCAAACAACAGAAACACAAGCCCCTGGAGCTGCTGCTATGCTTCCTTGCTGGGACCCACATCCTTATGGCAGCAGTACCCCTCACCACCTATGCCGTGGTGCAGCTGCGGCGTGAGTCCTCCGACTACGACTGGAACGAAAGCATCTGCAAGGTCTTTGTCTCCACATACTACACCCTGGCGCTGGCCACCTGCTTCACAGTGGCCTCCCTTTCCTACCACCGGATGTGGATGGTGAGATGGCCAGTCAACTACCGATTGAGCAATGCCAAGAAGCAGGCTCTGCACGCAGTCATGGGTATCTGGATGGTATCATTCATCCTCTCCACCCTGCCCTCCATCGGCTGGCACAACAATGGCGAGCGCTACTATGCCCGTGGCTGCCAGTTCATTGTCAGCAAGATAGGGCTGGGCTTCGGTGTCTGCTTTAGCCTCCTGCTGCTCGGAGGAATTGTCATGGGCTTGGTGTGCGTGGGTATCACTTTCTACCAGACCCTGTGGGCACACAGAAGACGCCGGCGGTGCCGCCACCAGAGGGCAGAGGAAGCATCATCCTGCTCTTCATCAGCACACACCACTTTCAATGTGCCAGCCATTGTAGTGGAGGATGTACGAGGCAAAAGGAGGTCTTCACTGGATGGCTCCGAGTCAGCCAAGACCTCCTTGCAGATGACCAACCTCATCAGCGCTATTGTCTTCCTGTATGACACACTCACTGGGGTGCCTATCTTGGTAAGCAGTGAGTTCTTCCTTTCCCCTCAGAGTCTGCAGTTAAACTAGATTTCCATTTCTCTCAAGTTTTAGAGAAGAAACTCTGTCTTCTGTCCACCAGCCACAGAGTTGCCACATCTGAATCTGTGTTATTCTGAGGGCCGGTTTTAAAAAGATTGCAGTAATTCTCTCATCCTTCCACAGCAGCATTTTCTTAAGACAAGTCTAAACCTGGGGAATACACACCACACAGCTAAAACCACTGGGAAAGTTTTAAGTGGCTAAGAGGAGAGGAAATTTTTCTGCAAACTTACAGGGGGATCTACCTCTGTAAAAACAATGAGATTTCTATTTCTCCAATTTGCTTCTGGAGAACTGATACACCAGCTTTAAAAGCTGTTGCAGAGAGTTTTCTTTTTCCTTCTGCTTGTATGGTCATAGCCAGCATTCAGGTTTTGGCTGGCTGGTTGATTCTCTGCAAAAGTGGAGAGCTGGGGAAGTTCTCGAAGGGAACGATTAAGAGAACAGAGGCTTAGTCACAGCTTTAGTGGCCGTGTCCTTTTTTAGCACCTATTTAGCTCCAGCTCATAATGAGCACGGGGAAGAAGGGATGCTAACACCAGGTCTCATGTTAGAGATATGACAGCTCGGAATATGGTCCAGCAAACCTGGGGTAACACCCCAGGAACAGTTTTTCAAAGGGGCACAGGGTAATTACTTGACAAATCCTTTACAGACAGATTACGTTCTAATACAGAATTGACTCCCGTTATCTTTCTCCCTTGATCCCCACTTCTGTCTTCTTTCTCGGCATTTTTCTCTCTCTTACCTCAAAGGTTGTGAGCTTTTTTAGCCTGCGCTATGATACGGCCCCCACCTGGATGGTCCTGGCTGTGCTCTGGTGCTCCATGGTGCAGACCCTGCTGCTCCCCTCCTTCATCTGGTCCTGTGAGCGCTACCGAGCAGATCTCCGCACTGTGTGGGAGCAGTGTGTGGCTATCATGTCTGAGGAAGACGGAGATGATGGTAAGCTCCTCACCACCCCACAGTCACCTTTCTTCACTAACCCCCTCCCCAAAAGACTACAGAGGAAAGAGGGGTCTGCCTTGGGAAAAGGACCTGATGGCACTAGGAGTGGTGTTGTGGGTGACTAGGTGGGATTCATGTTATAGCTTGGAGTCAGCAACCATGAGAAAATTTATTCTGGAGAAGGCTCTGCCATTCACTTGCTGCCTTAGGACTCACTAGCACCCAGGAAAAATTAGCGCAACATCCTTCACAGTAGATGCAAGAGTAGAGACGATGTGTACAGCTGCCAAACCACAATGAAAGTGACACGCCGGGCCTCAGCCCAACTCGCTGATCCAAAGGTCCAAGTTCTGGCAGTGAGCGATTCAAAAACGAGACAGCAGAAACAGGGCAGTCTCTGGGTGCTTTAGTGCTGCTGCAAGCAGAAGGACAAGATCCTTGTTCAGAGGTGAGCCCTGAGGGCTGCAAGTAGGGTGGCAGAAGTCAGACAAGCTTTAGGATCGCATCCAGGTGCCCTGACAACACTCCTTTTCTGGCTGAAAAGTGTTGACTGCCGTTCTCCTCTTTGCCAACAGATGGTGTGTGTGATGATTATGGCGATGGCAGGATCTGCAAAGTGAGATTTGATGCAAATGGTGCTGCAGCTGTGAAACGGGACTCCCGGGACATCAAGCTGCTACCCATGCACCACATGTTGTTGCCCCAGGACAAGGTGCACTACCTGCAGGTGAGCCGAGAGCTAGCAGGGGCAGCCCCACAACCCACTTCCTTCTCTGTCAGTCTCCCACACGTTTGTCTCCTCTTGACTCTCTTCTCTGAGAAAGCCTCAGCTACTCCCCTCCTGTTCTGTCTCTTCAAGTCTTTCATCACCTGCCGCCTTCTCTGTTTTCCAGGTCCCTCTCTCTCGGAGAATGTCACATGATGAGACTAACATCTTCTCCGCCCACCGCTCCACTCCATCCTTCCTACACAAGTGGTCTTCATCTGATGACATCCGCATTTCCACCCCCCGCAAGCCTGGAGGCCCCGGCTTCTTGCCTCCTCAGCTGCATGACTACCAGCACCGCCGACGGCCCCCAGAAGATGAGCTGACGACCCTACGGCAGTTTTTGGAGGGGGGGCTGATGCCCCGGGGCTCCAGCTCCAGCGCCTGCTTCTTCCGAGATGAGATCACCACGTTCATCGACGAGACGCCGCAACCCACCCCAGCCTGCAGCCCACGGCACTCCCGTCTCCCACTCACATCACGCCGCGATCGCCGCCTCTCCCTTGGCAGCAGAGAGGAGGAGAATGCCGACCGGCCCCGGCGCCCCCCCTTGGCTGGCAACGAAGCCTGGCATCTGCAGGACGGAGAGCAGGCGCCGTGTGAAAGGACCCTTGAGGCCTGCGAGGCACAGACCTTCCAGGATCCCAAACTATGAGAGACAGCATCAAAAACATTCAGTGCCATCATGATTTTTAAATAAAACTTCAAAGTGTTCCCTTTGTCCCAGGACCCGACCACTAATTTGCATTCTCATCTTTCTCGCCAGCAGGCAGGAAACACGGCACCCCACGCTGGTGGGGGAAAAAGAAGTGGGACAGACCCGCAGAAGGGAGCGTGACAGACCGACGGACAGCCTGTGCCTGCTCTCAGGTTACAAACACACCCACCGCTGCCACTTGGCACCCTCGCCAGTCCTGTCCCTTTGTGAACTCCACCCTCGCATCCGCTCTGCCCTAAGAGACAAGGCAGGCGCAGAATGGTATTAAAATTCTATATTTGGAGTGTCAATCGTGTGTCTGTTTTTAAAATAATATATTAGTAATAATTTTGTTTCCATAGAAACAAAATGACAGGCCCAATGTTTAATGAAGCTTCACAGGCTTCTGGAAGCGAAATGCAGAATGTGCGAGGCTCCTTTCCTCCCTCTCCACCCCTTTCTTGTCAGTGCATCTGGAAGGCAGCAGATGCTTAGCAGCCCAGGGAAGGGAACAAAGCCCATAGAGGAGTTGTCATGGGAGACTGGGTGAAAAGTTTTCCTGTCCATTTCAGGGGACACTTAGGCTGCCTGCAGCTAAGCAGGAGCAGCCTCTGTGCTTTCTAATATCGCTCAGCAAAAGGTATTGCTTTCAGGCAACCCCAGGCTTGAAAACAATTAAATTTCTCCGAAAAGACCGTGACCCATAACATCTCATTTCACCAGTGCAAACTGTTGATTCCAGTGCGAACTTTGCATGAAACACGATGGCCCAAACTTCTCACCCAAACAGGACAGCTGATAGTGCCTTCCAGGGGGAAGGCCCCCAACTGCCCATACCATCAAAGCTGGGAGTGATGAGGTCTGGAGCAGGCTCCTGCCCTGGAAGGGAGGTGCAGAGGTAGCGTGTGGGAGGTGGACCTTCTCCTGCCCAGCGCTGGCTGTAGTTCCAGCCATGGGCAAGGGTTTGGCTGCATCGGAGGGGCTGCGGGAGATAGGTAGCCCTTCACCTCCAAAGGGCTTCTCCATGTGATGGGACTTGGTCTATGAACTGTCAAAGCATGCCTCATCCCTGGCGTGGATGCTGATAGATTAACCATAACCTCTTATGAGACGTCTCGTCGGAGGGGCCTGGGTGACCTGTACCAAGCGCAAGGGGATGCTTGGCGGACGGCTGGACAAAGGACCACGTCAGACAACGAGGTGCCAGGGCTCTGCTGGCCCGCACAGGACCAGCACCGGGCTGGTCCAGGCGCCCACGAAGTGGC